TGAGTGTGTGTGTGTGTGTGTGTGTGTGTGTGTGTGTGTGTGTGTGTGTATGAATACATGAATATGAGATACAGATACACTATAGTTAAGGAAGTGTTGATTGGCTATTCTACCTACCTTTGCCCTTCTGAATGAATTATCTTGTTAGCCCCACAGCAGCCCTCTAATTTTGGTACATTTTACTTTACACTTTAAAAAGTCAACACTAGACAAAACTTGTTTACCTTAGTCTAAGGTGATACTGAAGAAAGTGTGATCAGTGCTGTAAATTCTAAAGACCCAAATTGGCCAAAATCTTTTCCCTTTTTCTTTTAAAACAAACAAAAATTTCAGTTTGAGAGCTAGAGATATGACTGATTAAATAAAGATCTAGGCTCTTGCCATGCAAGCTTGAGGACCAGATCCCCAACACCCACAGAAAAGCCAGGCTGGAGTGGCAGTTCACCTGTCATTCCCACACTCAAGAGGCAGATGTGGAACCTCCAGAGCAAGATGCCTGTTTAACTAACCCAATCAGCCAGCTGCAAATTGAAGTGAGAGGCTCTGCCTCAATGTCTAAGGGGGAGAGTTATTCTGGAGGATGCTTGACATCAATCTCAGGCCCCCACAAACACGTGTGCACAGCACCTGCCCACACATGTGGACATGGTCATACACTACTCACATATACATGAAAAATAAATAAATAAAAACAAAAAACCTCCACAAATCTCCCTGCTCCCCCATGTTATTGTCTTAAATGCTTCGAACACAAATCTTCTCTCAGATTCTGCCTCTGGTTGTGAAAGTGGAGGAGGACACAGGGATTCACCTTTTGTGAACAAGTTGAAGAAATTGGTCATGGAAAACTGACAGTGCATGGAATGTCCACATTAAGGAGCAAATGAGAAGTCCCTGGGTCCGGAAGATAAGACTTCACACTGGGGACAGATGCAAATGTTTCTAGAAGACACCAGAACAACAGCACGCCCAACTCGGCTGTTCATGATATCACCAGACAGGGGTCTTGCCAGGATAGCTTGAGCCTGGGAGTTTGAGGTCTGATCAAGGACACACTCCCAGGCTCTGCCTGTTTCTTTGTCTGGTGATGGAAATTGGACAGGACTTGGAAGTTTAAGAATACTTTGTTCAACAAGTATTGAGTATGCTTACTGCACTGGATCCTCATCTAGGCACTGATGGAGCACCAGTGAGGAAAAGTGACATTTGAGGAAAGCTTATGCTCCAGGAAGAGACAACTCACAGTATGGTGAGGGTGTAGTGCTGGAGGGCAGGTGTTTGGAAACCGGAGCGGCTGAGCAGACAACAGTTTCTGCCCAGTGAGCATCCTCAAGGGCCCACCCTGTGCCAAGCATTTCCCCTCTTTCCCCCTTTCTTCCTCCCACCTTCTTGCTTTTCCTCCTTTCTTCTCTCCCTTTCTTTCCTCCTTTCCATTCTGCTTTCTCCTTCCTTCTCTCTTCATTCCCTCATTCTTTCCCCCTTCTGTATCCCCATGCCTCCCTCCTCTCTCTCTCTGTCCTTCCTCTTTTCTTAGTCTTATTTTCTCAGACTGTGTCTTATTAGGCAGCCTAAGGTATCTTAGAAGTTCTCAATCCCCCTGCCTCAGCCTCCTAAGTACTGGGATCACAGGTTTCGGCTGCCTCCCCCAGATTCACGTGCATTCATTCAGTCCTCAAAAGAATGCTGAGCTTTCCATTCAATGGGTAAAGAAACCAAGGAAAGGGACTCTTCAAAGGTCATGTTGCCATAGGTAGCAGAATGGAATCTAACTCAGTTCTGTGCCCTCAATGACAGTCACATTTCATGAAGAAGCTTGCAGGGAGGCCATCTTCCTTACCCATCTTCCGGCCTTGTCCAAGGATGGGTTGAACCGCTTCCCTTTGGCCATTCTCTCCAAAGAGCTGAATGTACCGAGTCCTCACCTCTCCATAGCCTCACAAGCTTGACACATCTGAACCGCCTCCCACCCCGTCCCTGACCTCCGCAATTGCTGCCCAGTCAGGGAGGTGGAGAATGCCCGTCGTGGAATGGGAGCCCATGTCACAATGGGCAGAGCCTTCTAAGCCCTGAGGGAGTGTTCTTTTCACTTGTTCCTTGCACCAGGTTCCCCAAGCATGTGCATAGTCTCACCCACCAGATCCCAGCTGAAGAACTCTCAGAACCCAGCCGAGAGGTGAGGATGAGGATGCCGGGAACATGGCAAACATTTTGCACCTTCCTGGTCCTCATAGCAGCCATCTGTTTCAATCTCTTAGTTTTCAGACAATCGAGTCCTGAGCTGGAGTTGACCTTGTTCACATCAGCATGCTGCTGTTCCAGGACCAAAGCAGCCACTATCTCCTTCCACAGTGTTCTCTGCTTCCCAGCTCAGATCTAATCATGTCACACACACACACACACACACACACACGCACGCACGCACGCACGCACGCACGCACGCACGCACGCACCACTCCTAGGCTCATTCACCTGCCTGGCGCAGCATAGAAGCCACAAGGAGATGACATTTGTACATAACTATGTATCAGATGCTATTCCAAAATAAACTCTTTTCTATGTCCTTAGTTTATTTCCCATGACGGTCACATCATCAATGATAGGGCACCAGAAGGCAAAGTGAGGTCATGGGTCCCCTCTAGAAATCATGAGCTGCCTGCCACCCTTAGGCTGCCAAGGCTGCTCCTGAAATCTGGCCTCTGTCCCTGGGCCAGGACATAGACCTGCCTCTCTCCCTCTCAGTGATGTGCTTTCTGCTTGTCTTTCTCCTTTGCTGGATGCCACCCAGCCAATTCTCTTGGCAGTTCCACACGGCAGTGTGAGTGGACATCCACAGGAGGACGACTCCAGATAGCCTACGGGTTAAGAAATTGTGTCTTCATCTCCCATCTTCTCCAATCATCTCATCTCTGGTTCTAACAAGAGTTGCCATAGTAGTGATAAGAGACCTTACCGCCTGCCAGTACTGAAGGTCTGTCAACATGGATTCCTGGGTATAACACCTGAGGTACCACAGTCCTGCTGCAGCTGTAGCACAAAAGCCACAGGCTAAGGAGAGAAGAGATTGAGAGACAGCCGTGCTGGGCACTATGACAGCCCCAGATGGAGCAGTACTGCTATGATGTCACAAGCCCTTCCATGGATACCAGTGCACACTGACCAACCCAGGGTAGTCGACAGTGTTTCTCGATGTCCCCACTGCTGCCCACACTGCAGAGCACAGCATAATGTCCACCCCATCTCTGCTCAGCAGCCTGGGCAAGACTCTATAAATTCTGGAACATAAGACCCCCCAAATAACCAGGCTCTAAACATAGGACATGTTGATTTCCACACCCAAAGCTGAGTACTGGCTCAGCATGGCAGATGTGCTTAAGTTGGGTCCTGGGATACTGGGGCTGCTTCCCGCCTGTCACCAGCTGACCAGACTCACTCAGGAGGCTGCTGTCATCTCCTGGTCCCTGTATGTAGCATCTGACTCCAGCATCAGAGTGCAGGATGAGGATGTTACACTGGACCAATCCTAGCCCATACCTGCCATGGTCTCAGTGGTCTAAGAAGTGTCCCTGGCAGTCACTATTACAACACTTTCTCTCATGGCCCAGAGATGAAATATGTGACCACGCTTTTTCGCACGGGGCACTATGGGTCAGGTGTGGTGGTGCTATAACAGTGTTTAGCTCAAAGTTCTATCAGAACAGAAGAGACAGAACCAAGACCCAAGGTCAGCCAGATATACCACCCTGATCTTGAATTTCCAGCTTCCCTGGATTCCAATGGAGAGAGGGTTGCTGTCATTCTTTATTCGTACTTATTTTTAATTAATTAATTTATTCATTCATGCATGCATGCATGCATTCGTTTATTATGTTTTTGAGACAGGGTTTCTGTGCATGTAGCCTTGGCTGTCCTGGAACTTGCTCTGTAGACCAGGCTGGCCTTGAACTCACAGAGATGTGCCTGTCTCTGAGTATAGGAAATAAAGGCATGGGCCACCATTGCCCGGCAGACTCATTCTTTATAGTACAGGTGGGGCAGAAAAGGGAGAAGTTTGCCATCTCTCCAGGAAATATTGGTAGCTCAAAGGCACACTGGAAAATTAAGAATGGACACAATGAACATACTTCATTTGGCTAAGTTTGCTAAGTGCTTCCGTGTTTGCTGTTACTTAAATGACTTCCACACTTAAATGCCTTCCACATCATCCCGAAGAGCTGTGCTGGTTATTGTCCACTTACGTGTGCCAGCCCACTGCCGATTCATTTTCTGTCTCCCCCTGCCGTGCAGCCAGGGGTTTGGTGTGTAAAAACTGCATCATCTATTCCCCTAGTGTTTGTCTCGGGCTTGATTCATCAGAAGGAAAGCACTGGTGAGGACTGGAAAGGCAGGAGGCAATGGGTGCAGGAGGGGTGTGCTCCTGGGACAGCTGACACTCAGCTCCCTGGGAGGATGACCGGCCTGACTTGTGCTGGGATTTGCTCATTGCTGTGGTGTGAAGGCTTCTGCTGGTGGGTGTCAAGCTCCTAATATCAATGAGCATAGGATAGCGAAGAGCTGTATATGACAGTCTCTAATAGACTACTGAGTCAAATTGCTGAGCTTCCAGGCCCCTTCCCTAAAAAGCCATGATTTGGAAGCAGCTAAGCATCTCTACCCGCATCCGTGGCTCTATCCCCACCCACAACCACAGCTCTCCCTGTTAAGGGCTCCCTTTGGCTTCAGGGTGTACCGAGCCTCCTGCCACTGCTGTTCCTGGGAGCTGTGTTCTCCTTGTCGGTTCCTGTGATGCTGTCCACAGCTCTTAGAAGAGACTTCAGCAAGCTGTGTGTCTGTTCTCCCTCCCGCCCCCCTCTGTGTGTGTGTGTGTGTGTGTGTGTGTGTGTGTGTGTATACACACACGTGTGTGCACATATGGAGGTCAGTGTGGATGTCTTCCTCTATCATTTGCTACTCTGTTTTTTTGAGACAGGGTCTCTCACTGAACCTGAAGTTCTCTGTGTTTAGCTGGACTAGGTGGCCAGAAGTCTCTAGGATTTGCCTGTGTCTACTCCCCTGTGCTGGAGAGACAGGTGCACAGCACATTGCCAGACTTTTACACGGGTTCTGCAGTTGAACTCAGGCCCTCACGCTCGTCCAGCGAGCACCACTCACTGAGCCGCCTCCACAGCCCTGCTTCCTGTGTGTTGGAATGTATGTACCGTCAGCCTCCTGAGTGGGACATTACTAGAAACAGAAGCAGGTACTAGTCGTTCTCTCCATTGGCAAGGGAGGGAAGTAGCATCTCAGAGAAATGAGGCGACTCAGCACGGCCGTACAGCCAGTGTGTGAGAGACTCACACCGGCCCAGATGTGCTACAGCACTTCTCCTGGAAGCATCAAGCAGGATCGTTCAGTTGAAGTCCTCTACTTGCTAGACAGAAAGACGGTGACTCCACAAGAGTATGTTTTAACTTAAAAAAAAAAAAAAAAAAAAGGTCCTTCCACAAGAATGACTGCAAACCCACTGTGGGCCAGCACCAACACTGTCACCAACATCAACTCTCATTAAACAGCCAACAAACATGGCTTCAGCGACACATCCAAGGAGCAGTGTCCCCTAATCTCTGAGTAACCCACATTATTTTCATTGAACTGTCTTCAACATTTATAGCAAATGGTTTCACCCTGTGTTTTTTCACAGATGGCTTTGAAGTTCAGACAGTCTCTGTCCAAAGCATTCAGGAGTCTGTAGAAGGTCCATATGCCTGTCTCTCCTTGTAGTTCTAGTGCTAGAGGCTGTTCCTTGTTCTAGAGGATGATTTGATCCTCTCTACCTCCTAATTCTGGAATTACAAACATGTGCCGCCATGCCCATCACTTTACATTTTTTAAGAGCTTTCCAGAAAAGGTTTTACTGGGAACTGTTGTATGCTAGATGCCGTGGTAGATACTGTAAGATGCTACCTCGGTTCTCATGAAGCTGGCTGGCTGATGGAGAGACAGACTTAATGACCCAGGTAGCTGGTTATAACCATAAGAGGTACAGGTTCCCAGAGACTATCTGGCAGGGAAGCCTGAATCTGGAAGGTGATAAAGAAATCAAGAATGACTTCAATGAGCTCAGGGTAGAGGGAGAAAACAGCCCAGGCAGATGAACAGCCTGCTGGAGGATTGATGTCCAGAGGAGTCTCTCACCAAAGAGAAGAAGAGCTGTTCTTTAAAGGACAGGGTAGCTTGGACACTCTGAAGAAGCCCATGCATGGGTTGCAGCAGAGGCTGGATGGGAAAGCAAAGAGCCAGGTCATCCAGGCAGTCCTGACAGCTACAAACAGGCACCTAGTCCTCTGTGACCTTGACCAGCTGGCCAAGGTCAATGGGAGGCAGAGGCAAGAGAGTAAATGAGTTGGACTAGAGAAATGACTCAGTCTGTAAAGTGGTTGCCTTACAAGTAGGAAAATCAGAAATCAATTTTCAGAACCCACATTTTCAAAAGCTGTGAGTACTGGCATGCTTATGATCCCAGTACCTAGGAAGTAGAGAAAAAAAGATCCCTGGCTCTTGATGGCCAGTTAGCTACACCCAGTGAATAAGCTTCAGGCCAGAGAGAGACTCTGCCTCAAAATAAGGTAAATATGACTGAAGTGTGGCACCCAAGGTTGTCCTCCAGCCCCCACATGCATGAGCACACATATACTTGTATATACACACACATGTGTGCACCCTCCCATGAACATGTACATACACAAACAGAATTATGGGAGACCAGCTCCCACTTTTTTCCCAGGGTACTCTTGAGGAGAGAGGGATAAGAGATATTAGGTAGAAAGGTAGAGGAAAGAGAAACAGAAACACAGGATAGTCTCAGGAGGGTCTGGATCAATATCCACCAGCTCCTCCTGTATCTTCTAAAGGACCTTTTATAGGAATGCCAAGGGGTGGAGCAAAAGACCTCCCCCTAGCACAGCCAAGTGCAGACCCTTCCAATCACCTGATAACCACACACATGGTCAAGCCGTCCTCTAATGCAGCCCTGCTGGGTAAAGCAAGCTCAGATCTCACTAGGACACCTTTGAGGGCCTCCACACAGAAAAGAATACACAACAACAACAAAACAAGCTTTAGTGTTTTGAGGGAATATTTTCATATCTATATGTGCACGCATTTGTGTATATGCATGTGTATGTACATGTGGTGTTGTGCCTGTGTGTGTTGGTGTGTATATGTGTGGGGAAGTGTGTGTGCATGTGTATGAGTGTGTGGGGGTGTGCATGTGTGTCATCGTGTGGGGAATGGAGGAGCAGAGGTCTACTTCTGGTATCTTCTGTCACTCCCCACCTTATTTTCTGAGTCAGGGTCTCTCACTGAACCTGGAGCTTACCATTTCAGCTAGACTGACTGGCCAGGAATACCAAGTACAATCTGTTTCCACCCCTTCCTCCAGCATGGGGGGGCCATATGTGTGGGCCACCACTCCCAACTTTTATGTGAGTGCTGGGGATCTGAACTCAGGTCCTTATGCTTGCACAACCAACATTTTACCCACGGAGCCAGCCCCAAGATGAAAAACAATGCCTACTCCCCACCCCCACTCCCCCCCACTTCCAGGGAGTGAAAGAAGCCTTACCCTAAAATGCAGCAGGTGGGAATGGTAGTTCATTGTCACCTCCTCCTCCTCTGCCGCTCTGGTTCAGCGTTAGAGAGTTTGAATGAAAATATCATGCTCCAGCTTGCTTCACCTTTAGGAAGCCAGACGCTTGTCTGTTTGATTGGCTGGTGAAGTTTTTGTTTGGTTGGTTGGTTGATTCTGTTTAGACAGGGTCTCGTGTATCCCAGGCTGGCCTCACACTTTCTGTACAGCTAAGGATGACTTTGAACTTCTAATCCTCCTGTCTCTTCCTTCTAAGTGCTAGGATTACCAGCATGTGCCGCCGCTGTGACAGCTGTTTTTGTCTTCAGAGATTGAATGGGATAGCTCTCCAAAAACCCGGGATAAATGACGGCACTAATTACACGTGTGACTCAAAACGAAGCTCTAAGATGGAAAACAGCAGCCCTAGAATTTTGAAACAAACCAGCAAAATAAATATCTATTTTCAGCTGAAGAGAAAATAAACAGTGGCTTGGAA